CAAGACATGTATTAGAAGATTGTGCGTTCCACTGAAGACATAAACTTTTGTGAACTTTTGAAAACAGCAGCAAAGTCTGCAACACAAGTATACTATAGCCTAGCAATGTAGCTCAGTTTTGTTAAGTTTTATTTGAATGTTGATTTTCCAATCAATTTGCCAGTAATGTAGAACTCACTTATATGAACGGCAAGACATGTATTAGAAGATTGTGCGTTCCACTGAAGACATAAACTTTTGTGAACTTTTGAAAACAGCAGCAAAGTCTGCAACACAAGTATACTATAGCCTAGCAATGTAGCTCAGTTTTGTTAAGTTTTATTTGAATGTTGATTTTCCAATCAATTTGCCAGTAATGTAGAACTCACTTATATGAACGGCAAGACATGTATTAGAAGATTGTGCGTTCCACTGAAGACATAAACTTTTGTGAACTTTTGAAAACAGCAGCAAAGTCTGCAACACAAGTATACTATAGCCTAGCAATGTAGCTCAGTTTTGTTAAGTTTTATTTGAATGTTGATTTTCCAATCAATTTGCCAGTAATGTAGAACTCACTTATATGAACGGCAAGACATGTATTAGAAGATTGTGCGTTCCACTGAAGACATAAACTTTTGTGAACTTTTGAAAACAGCAGCAAAGTCTGCAACACAAGTATACTATAGTCTAGCAATGTAGCTCAGTTTTGTTAAGTTTTATTTGAATGTTGATTTTCCAATCAATTTGCCAGTAATGTAGAACTCACTTATATGTACTACTATTTACAACATGAATCCGTGTCGTATTCTTCAACAATTTAAAATAAATTAATATTTGGTGAGAAAATTGAACTTAAACTTTATGTAAATCAGCATGATTTTGCTTTTTGTGTGTGTTTTCTTCATGAATTATTGATTTATAAATCACTAATAAGTCATCATTAAAATCATGTCCTACCATCACCTTTTCACTGGTATAACAAAACGCCGGTATTTAAAAGCATTCTTTGTTTCGCACAATTTGATAACGAACATCCCATTACACGTAAGAACATGCAAGAATATTCCAAAGCTATTAAATATAGAAATGCAATTGACATGCACTCACAGCCATAAAACGGGAGACTATATACGCGAGCAGAAGGACAGTGATGATCCTTTTTGTGGAATTCTTCTGCGGGTATCACTTGTTCAAGTTTTTAATACGCCTTGAGGCGTGTGTCAAAATCAAGGTGTGTTTTTATGAACACGTCATACATGGTGTGTTTTTTCACACACAATACTGTGTTTTGGTACACTCTATTAACTGTGGTACACTGTACACACCATGCGGTGTTTTTAAAACACTGCACTATTATACTATTATAATAACACTATTAAGATGTGCTACATTCATATTTATTCATAATAATAAATATGAAACTAGTTTTTCATGTCTCTGAGTCTGAGTATGGTTCTGAAATAGTGTGCCATATAACAACATAAAACGGTCTCTGAGTTTCCAGCGATATACATACCCTTTTCTAGATATATACCTAATAATAATAAGCGAACGAACGAATGTATTCCTTCCACTCGTGAGCTCATTTACCATTGTCACATATAGTAAATGTCCAGGCCTTGTGACCCTGGATGGGCACTTAAAAGGAAAGAATACACACACACAAAGGTTTATTTATTCAACCATTACAAGAGAACGATTGAACAACTGCGCATGAACGAACGTCCAAAGTGAATGCCTCTTGGACATTTACTATATGTGACAATGGACTCTCTGGACATTTACTATATGTGACAATGGTAAATGAGCTCACGAGTGGAAGGAATACATTCGTTCGTTCGCTTATTATTATTAGGTATATATCTAGAAAAGGGTATGTATATCGCTGGAAACTCAGAGAGCGTTTTATGTTGTTATTTTATTTCCTGAGTACGGGTCTTCGACCAATTTCATATTGTTAGTGTGCCATATATTATTATTACTTATTTAAAAAAATTCCTGGCTTCTGATTGGCTAACAGCCAACTGTGAAATTGTCATATTAACTCAATGGCTAACCAAATACGGATTTTTCACATTCATATTAGTAAAATGACGTCAAAGAGTCAATATGAAAAAAATTTGGACGCGTTTGCACCATATTACTATGACGACGAGAATCATATTGACTCGCTGACGCCATTGATATGACGCGACGACGGCTGCCGAAGGATTAAGTAATACAAATAAAATACAAATGTTTGTTTTGAATTTTTTAAATAAATAATAAAACAATTGTTGAATTCGGTTTTCGCACAATATGAAGAATTATCAAGCCCTCAGTTTGCCGTTATCAACCTCAGCCTTCGGTTGATAACGGCAAACTTCGGGCTTGATAATTCTTCATATCGTGCTCAACCTCATTCAATAATTGTTAAATGTTAAGTACATTCAAATTCTTAAGAATCCTTCAAAATTAAAAGTTCCTTCTATCCGTTAATTGCTACTCAACTATTATTTAGGATAGTTATATGTAAGCACTTGCATATGACTTGCAGGGTAATAACAAATTTAGACAAATCAGTGATCAAAGATAAATTAATTCGCCTGTGCATGAACGGTGACAGACAGACGGATTATTCGAAAAGATATATGCTATCACATGTCTTCACTGATGATCTATTGACACAAATTATGAGTTGGCGAAAACTCATGTCCGTTTTCCCAATCTTTCTCAGGATGTTCATTGAATTACTGCCTGCACATTTTATTTGACCAGTTTAACTATCAATGAAATTGCACTAGGATTAGATTAGATAATTTTATTTAAACACGGTGGTTCTATCAGAAATAATATTTACAAATGTTAAATTATTAAGTCTGGTCTACCTAGAAGCCGTAGTCAAGTCCATGCAAGTCAAGTTTTTTTTATGTGTAGAGTACTAGAGTGATGAATGCTCAATACCATGCATTAAAAATCGCGGATAAAGTTTCATAATAACAAATCACTTGTCATACACACCTATAGCTATTGACGTCTTGTATGTCTTGTCACTGAAATATAAACTCCCCGCACAAATTATTAATAAGGAAACAACTTATAATATTATATTTCATCAAAATTCAAATTTCGAGTGTTCCGTTTCAGTTCTTTAACGATTTCCCCCAAGACGGGCGCAAGCGGAAAGCCGGAGGAGAGTTATCGAAGTGCGACCAATATAAAGAGAATTGTAACGATTGCTCACTCATAAGCGTGTCAGTTCGCATCGAAAAATGGAAGAAAAAGCTAAAATACTTTTTCTCTGCCTTCTGGTCGTTTTGTTGAGCGATTTTTCTACCGGATTTTTTCGCGTAAGCCTAGCTCCTCGTCGATGTTTCCGAACTTTTGCTCGCAGACGTCGTTGTTTTAAGCCATATATACCAATGTTATCGACCACTCAGAAACCAAAGACATTACAGCCAACTACTGAAGCTACAACGCCTCCTGTGGTATTTTTATATCCTGTAAAATCTCACTCTTCAGGATTGCCTTACTGTAAGTCCAGAGATGTAAACGAAATTCTCAGACCAGCTGGAAGTCGAACGAAACGTGCGGTAAGTAAGGTATTTGTATATGTATGTATGGGGATTGAAATTAAGTCTAGATTCTACGTCCTTTGTAAAAAATAAAGACCTTTGTTCTTTGTCGTCTGCGAAATCAAACCCCCACTGGCCGCAGGTATAGGCTGGCATATATTATTTGTATTTTACTTCAGCCGTTTGCGAGACATGACTGTACCTATGATAACTGAACAAAGTACGGTAATACAATGTATGCATGTAAGACTCACAGTTGCTGCAGAGAGGACCAAATTTAGTTCGCAGACTTTTACGTGCATGAGTATACTATATATAATATAGACCCTAGCGGAAATTCGGTTGGGAACCGAACAACTCCAAATGCATGAAAGGAAATATTGCGCACTAGAAACAAATTTTGCCAGTGGCAACGGGTATAGTTTCAAATATATATTATCAACAAGGTCAATTGCACACGTAAAAACATTGTCAACAAAATGCACAAATTTGCACATTTTGAAATATATTCCATAAAATTGAGGGCCTGCCACGCAGGCTAATATATTGCAAAATAATGGCCGTTATGAATGCGACACCCTGTTTGAACAATTTAAATCTTGAAATTTGAATCGCTTGTAATAATAAGATAAACTTTATTTCGTTAGAAGTGCGCACGTAGATCTAATCTTATTTGCATTCCATCCGACGACATGAAGTTTGAATTCTATTTATAAGATCTGAATATTAATCAATCAAAATTGGACGAGAAATTATGCAATATTATATGTATGAATAATATACTGTAAGAATAATATTCATACACGAGCAAATTTATGGTCAAGTGAATGCATGGAACACATGCGAAATAAATAATTATAGTTTGCAAGTTTTCGACTATCTGAACCGGACTTTTTGTATTTATTGTATAAATGGATCCAGGTCTGCAATCACGCGGGCATATTACCTCACGCTAAGAAATCTGCGAGTTTGCGTGGCAACAACAATGCTGCTCATTTATCGACAGCAGATGAACCACTGTCTGAATTCATCGTAAAATGGCCTTTCTGACTATCATATGATTCTAGCCGCTATACATACTTTTATATATTTCAGGTCTCGTGGCCATACGAATGCAGACATGCAAGTATATTGCATTTCTCAGGCGACTATCAGTTTATCTGGCCGATATACGACTGCTGTTCAAAATGTAGCTTCCCAGAGTTCACCTTGTGCGTGGCCAAAAGTAGAAGTAAAAATTCTCCAGAGTGGATGTGTCCTAGCGAGGGATTGCAATGCATTGTGGGTTGTGTAAACAAACATAAGCCCGGTGGCACAATCGGTATTTTACCAAACGTTGTCAAACCGGGTATAAAACCCGGTACTAGCGGGATAATTACTCCAAACGTTGTCAAACCAGGTATAAAACCAGCTCCGGGAAAACCGGTCTTGAGCAATTGTGAGAAACTGGAAACGGAAAATGGGAAACAATGTATTCGAAAACTATGCGTAGCACTAGGCCAGGCTTTCAAGCCGTGATTGAAAGAAATGTAATGTTTTTGTACTCTCAGGAATTAATGGAGTTTAAAAAAGTTTAAAAAGTTTAAAAAAGTTAGATTTTCAAAAAAGTTAAAAAAGTTAGATTAGGGTTAGGGGTTAGGGTTAGTGCCGCGAATTTATCATTATGATAAATTCAAAATGTGCCGCGAATTTATCATAATGATAAATTCGGACGTGTTTAAGAATTTACTCATATAGTATAAATTCAAAGGTGGAGTTCATGCTGGATTTTTTAAACCGTTGTGAAAATAGTTTGAAAAGTTATAAAACTACAGATGTGGACTTCAGAATTAATAAAAAGAAACTTTAACTTAGAAGCACTAAAGTTTTATCCTGGCTATACCAAACAACGAACAATTTCAGAAATGTTGTTCACTATCCGATGGATATATAGAGGATATTACACGGCGGCGCGAAGATCCGTGAGTGTGGAAAACAATATTTTACGAACGAGCCCAGCGAGTGAGTAAAATATTGTTTTTAACACGAGAAGATAAAAGTCATATCTTCAAGCCACCGTGTAATGTTTTGTTTATTATATAGTCCCAAGTAAAAAATTGTGAAATTTCACGCTCAAAGCAAATTGGAAAGTCACGGGATCGATATCTTCACTAGTGAAGATATGGAAAATATCTCGCTGTGTATTTTTTCAGTATCTCACTCGCTACTATATAATAAAGTGTGTTATCCAGTTTTCGTACAACCGGCCTCAGAGAATGTCAAACGTATGCGACTAGTCGTATGGTCTAAATGATATAATCACCTCAACAATAGATCATTAGCTGAATTCATATTTATAGGAGACGGATTTCCGTCTAAGACGGGAAACTCCTGTGATGGATTATACCGTCTGGTACGAATGTGAAAGGAAAACCATCGCACGGATAAACACGAAAAAATAGGAGACCCTCCATCCCAGTCTCTTTCCAACGTTACGAGCAGAAACCCGTCTTGATTTATTCGTCTGATATAAATTTAAGACAAGTTTCCCGTCTAAGTCGAGACTGGACTCGTCTAACTTTCCCGTCGTTCAGACGAGAAAGTTGAGCGGAAAGCGGTTGAGATGGAAAACCCGTCGTTAACCGAATTTATATCTGGACCGACTGGACGAGTTTCTCGTCTTAGACGAGTTTCCAATCTCAGACGAGTTTCTAATCTCAGACGGAAATTCGTCTTCTAATATGAATTCAGCTGTTTTCACGGATCACGTGACAAATTCTGGAAAGGCAGTGGAAACTTTGAGTTGGCTTAATTTAAACTTACTTGTCTAATGCAGTTTGCCTTGTACCAGTCGCTATACACGCTGGACACATATACTCTGCAATGCAAGAATGTATATGTAATCCGTGATTGAGAAATGGATAATATTGATTTGAAGATATTGATGTAAAATACAGATTAATAGTAAATAGGAATGAAATAAAAAATATATGAATAAAAAACAGTTTTTTGACGAAATCTTGTGGAAATAATATCTGAGGATCCGCGTGATCACACAATATCACGATTTCATTTTATAACGGCTAAAAATTTTCATAACAACTGTCTGTGTACGCAATGCGCATGCATGTCACATAGAAAGTTTATTTTCGTGAATGGAAGAATGAATCAGCTCTAGATACAATCAAGTGCAACGAGACTTTTTTATATTTTTATCCTCCTTTTTAGGTTTGAGAAAAAATTGAACTGACCTTCAGCCTTTAGAGCTTAGGTCATATTTCCAACATTGTTTAGGGGGAAGGGGTGTTCATCAAATTTATATCTCGAGCACTCATGTTGTAAATAGTAGTACATATAAGTGAGTTCTACATTACTGGCAAATTGATTGCAAAATAAACAGTCAAATAAAACATAACCAGGAAATTAATTCAACTTGATCACGGCTGGGAATCGAACCCGCGACCTTCGCATTTCTATAGAACGACACTCCACCTTCTGAGCTACAAGGCCAAGTTGGGAACGATGTTACTTATTTGTGATGTTAATGACATATCAGAATTTCTTCCTTCCATGCCTGTGCCAGCTTTAATCCAGCGAATACCCAAGTATACCAACACACAAATTATTAATAAGGAAACAACTTAATATTATATTTCATCAAATTCAAATCTCGAGTGTTCCGTTTCAGCTCTTGAACGATTTCCTCAAGCGGAAAAACCGGAAGAAAGTCTACGAGGTGTAACCAATGTAAAGAGAATTGTAACGATTGCTCACTCATAACTCATAAGCGTGTCAGTTCGCATCGAAAATGGAAGGAAAAGCTAAAATACTTTTTCTCTGTCTTCTGGTCGTTTTGTTGAGCGATTTTTCTACCGGATTTTTTCACCGTGCTCGTAGTCGTCGCTATCGCAAACGCATTCGTCTGCATAGAATATGTTTCCGAATTTTTACTAACAGACGTTGTAAAAAGCTAATGCTGCCGACCACTCAGAAACCAAAAGCATTACCAACTACTAAAGCGACAACGCCTCCTGTGGTATTTTTAAATCCTGTAAAATCTCACTCGTCAGGATTGCCTTACTGTAAGTCCAGAGATGTAAACGAAATTCTCAGACCAGCTGGAAGTCGAACGAAACGTGCGGTAAGTAAGGTATTTGTTTGTACAGTATGTGTGTATGGGATATCCCGAAAACAGACCTACTTATTCGCCCGCCCTAGAATTTGGCGAGTAAGTAGGTCTGTTTTCAGGCTATCATGCATGGGATTCAAATTAAGTCTAGATTCTACGTCCTTTATAAAAAACAAACGCCTTTGTTCTTTGTCGTCTGAGAAATCAAATATTTCAGCCGTTTGCGGGACAGGCTGTTACCTGTGGAATATATATGCATGATAACTGATGGTAATACAGCGTATGCATGTAAGCCCCACAGTTGCCGTATAGAGAGGACTAAAATTAGTTCGCATATAGAATCTAGTTGTGAGTATAGACTGTAGCGGAAATTCGATTGGGAACCGAACAGTCCAAATGCACGTAAGGAAGTATTGCGCACTAAGAACAAATTTTGCCCGTATCAACTGTATCTACAACACATTTAGTATTAATTTATATTATGCGAAAATTCTCCCTTCTTTTTCTCTTTTGTACTTAATAGTATATATATAAATATATATACGTCAAAACTTTCTGATTTTACATATTGTATTGATTGACTGTAAATAATTAATCATGTAATCTATCACAAATGAACAGTAACTAGAGGCCTAAATAAAAAAGTCTATGAAGATTTCTAGTAGGTCTCTAGCCCAAAATCTTTAAATTATTGTAACATATTTTAAGTAGCTTTTTTTAAGTAACTTTTTTTAAAACAATTAAAAAAAAATTCTGTAAATATCAGTTTTGTTATCTGCATACAGTATATCATTCATAAGTATTAGTATTTTTGCGCTAGTGAATATATATAACAAATTATTTCAAGTTGATTGGTCAAATTTGACGTACTAAGCTGTTGTATTCAGGTGAATACAACAGCTTATAGTACGTCAAATGAATACAACAGCTTAGTACGTCAAATTTGACCAATCAATTAACTTGAAAGAATTTGTTATATTCACTAGCGCAAAAATAGTAATACTTATATGAATGATATACTGTATGCATTCATACACAAGCAAAGTTTAGGGTCACTTGTATGCATGAAACGCATGCGAAATAAATAACTAGTTTGAATGTCAACAAAAACGTAATGAAAGTTTTCAACTGTCTGAAGTTTTTGTATCTATTGTGTAAATGGATCCAGGCCTCACGCTAAGAAATCTGCGAGTTTGCGTGGCAAAAATAATACTGGTCATTTATCTACAGCAGATGAACCACTGTCTGAATTCATCATAAAATGACCTTTCTGACTATCATATGATTCTAGCCGCTATATATACTTCGATATATTTCAGGTCTCGTGGCCATACGAATGCAGACATGCAAGTATATTGCATTTCTATGGCGACTATCAGTTTATCTGGCCGATATACGACTGTTGT